ATTCCATACTGCATTTTTCTTAAGAGTACAGTTCAGTTAAAAGAGAAATGTGTTTCGTACTTTGTGAAAATTTTATTTACTTATTATGTGTCATGCTCATGATAAATAAAAATGTTATACATGTGCGCAGGACTGCGTGGTTCCAATGTTTAATTAAAATAATGCTTTTCAAAAAAGTGTGGTCTTTCTTATGACATATTAAAAATGCGTTAAAATTTTTAAAGTTGGTGACTATAGTAGATCATTATATGGACTTTCTGTCATTATTACCTATTTTGTATAATTATTTGTGTGTAATTTTATTTATTATCTATGAGAAGTTAAATGTCAAAAAAAAGCTGTAAAAGTTCATTTAAGCAATGTCAGTTTGAAATTTCTATCTTAAAATTATTTGTGTTAGGTCTTTTATGTTAATTACTATGTTAGATCATTATTTGGAACTCTACTCAATATTTCGTGTAATGTATCATAACTATGTAGGAGTCATTTGTCAGGTATGATAAATTAAATTTCGTTCTCAAAAGGCTGTAAGAGTTCAGTGCTAAATAAATTATTGACAATGTGAAATATGGGTATTTTTCAGTTAAGTTACAATGAATACAATGAATACGTTAAAAATATTCCAAGTTAACAAATTTTTATATTCCAAGTTGGGAAAAAGGCGATAAAGTTTCATTTCCATGGCTGAATATTAATTCCCTGTGTATTATAGACTTTAAGTTCTCCTTCACAAAATGTGCCTATAATTCAAATTTAAAATAATACGTTACAATGTGGATATTCTTCTCTGTAGTTAAAATATAATTCAATCTTCTGTACCTTGTTAAGAGAGTAAGGCTGTGATAAGTTCAAATAGAGTAGTGTTTTATAAAGTTCTGCGGTAAATGGTGGAATCATATTAAGAATCCGAGTGACGTTTTCACATGAAGGAAAAATCAAGGTTCAGTGTATGTTTGGTGATTTAAGTAGGATGTGTGCAAGAAAATACAAGATATATTTTGTAAAATATTTCAAAGAGTTAGCAAAATGTGTGTTAAAAGTATAAATGAATCTTACTGAATAAAAAAAAGTGAGTGTTCTGAATATATATGTATAAATGTCTGTAGAGTAAAATAATAAGAAATGAAGTACTATTGGTCCGTATCTAAACTTAAATGGGTAGAAATGCCCCATGCATTGGTTTGAGTGGGCTTCATACCATAAAAATTTATTGCTGCTTATAAGATTTGTTTAAAGTCGGTAGGTCTAGGAATAACGAAATGTGTAAAAGTCTATATTTAATTTTTTTGGGGAAAAGGAATCAGAAATATTACATAAAAATTACATTTGTCAGACATAGTTTGGTGAATCGTTTGAATAAAGGTAAGATGTGTAAAAGAGAATCAGCGAAGTTTTGTATAGTTGGCCAAAAAGTTAGTATAGTCATTAATAGTTAATACAATACATTAGAAGAGAAAGTTCTGAGTATCTCCAATCTTAGGGGTATAAAAAAGTAAGAAATGTAGTATTCCAGTTAAACTATATAGAATGAACATTGTGCGTATTGGTTTAAAATTACAGAAAATATTATCCATCTAGAGTGAAGTTATATGCATGTAAATTCCAGCTTAAAATTTCGTAGACAGAGAAATGTAGGTAAGTTTACTTTTGGAGAAATGGAAGTGTAACATCATGTTGTATTTAACACAAGGGGGAAAAGGTTAAGGTTAAAATAAAAATGTAACAAGGAAAAAAATTTTAAAGGAAAGAAAAAAATTTAAAATTTACGTTTAGAATTATAATACATTAGGGGGAAAAAAACTGCATTTGTGCAAACAAAAACTGAAAAAAATTAAATTTATGAAACTAAATATTACTTTTGTAAAAATAAATAAAGTTAAAAATGTAGTAACACCTTTTTTTTAAAATAAATAGTGAAAAGGAAAAATTAAATTTGTAAAAATAAATATTACTTTTCTAAAAAAAATAAGTTTAAACAAAAGTTAAATGTAAATAAAAATAAAGTAAAAATACAAAAAGGAATAAATTTGAAAAAAAAAAAAAAAAAAACTTTTGCGAAAAATAGAAGTGAAAAGGAAAAAATAAATTCGTAAAAATAAAATATTACTTTTGGAAAACCAAAAAAGAAAGTTAAATATAAAAAAAGTAAAGTAAAAATACGAAAAGGAAAAAGAAAAAACTTTTGCAAAATAAAAAAAAAAAAAAAAAAAAAAATGTAAATTCACTATTGTAGAAATAAACGTCAATTTGCGAAAGTTAAAACTAAAATTTATGTTTGGGAAAAGGAAACATAGAAAAATTAATAAATTAACTATTAGTAAGTATGAGAAGCAAAAAGAAAACAATTAAAAATATCCCAATAAAATAAAGAGAAATTTAACTGTGGGAAAATATTACATTTGAAACATCAAAGAACAGAGTGATTTAGAAAGCCAAAAGAATTCTGGTCCGTTTCAAGAAATAAACATTCCTGGTTACAAAGCAAATCGTGGTTAGCACGAATCTGATTGGCCACCAAGATTGTATTCGTTCGCCGTCGTGAAAAAACAAATGTGTGAAGCGGTTTTCATGTCAAGGCGCATGCGCAATCTGTCAGCTTCGTGACATTATAATTGTTTCCGCTTCACAAAGGTCAAAGGGACAAATGGGATCAACAAATAACATGCTTGTAAGGAGGATGGGCTAGCTTTGAGGTAACGTTCAGGTTTTTCATCTCAAAGATGGCGAGTTCGAATCCCGCTCGAAGAGTTATTTTTTAAATTCTGGGAAAATAATATTAAATTCAATAAAAAATAATGAAAGGTAATAATTAAAATAATGTCGTACTAAATAATTAAAATACTTATTAAAAAATAGTAAATAATTAAAAATTAATTATGTACTACATAATTAAATATAAATAATCACGTGTCTAATAATTAAAAATAATAAATTAAAAGTGGTGTCATTCCAAACACGTGGTTCAAGAGATGGTTGCCATAAAATCTAAAAAATATTGTCGTTGCCACAAAAAATAGAAACTTTCAAAAACACAATATCGTTGCCACAAAATAAAAACAAAACGTTGATGACATCATTCCAAGACATCGCTTCCGGAAAAATCACAAGATGAGGCTGGTGTAGTCACTTCCGGTTCCATGCCTCTCTGGATACTGGCCACACCCCTTTTCAGTGACGTCACTTCCGCCGCACGAGTACGGGCGCTTACTACTTCCATATGTTGCCAAAGTTAAAGTACGCATAGACAGTGTATGTTGGGCCACTTGCTGCTAATTATCAACCAGACGTGTTAGACGGGCAAATATCCGAAGAATGGGCAGGCCAATGCAGCAGTGCACCTTGGAGGGCAATGGAAATTACGTGCCACATGGGGGTGCGTACTGTTCTGTTGAAACTTACCTCAAGGCAAGCATTGAAGTTAAAGGAGACAGCAGCTTCAAAACTCGATACATGTAGCACTGGATGTTCATTATGTCGACAACGCATATTAGATGGCTGCTGGAGAAAAATTCACTGGCACCCAAAACCATAATTTCAGGCGACTGGTATGGCTACATATAATGCAAGGGTTATGATGTTTATCAACTCTGTATCACCAGACTTGGATACGACCATCATGGGTGGTGTTGCTGGAAGAATCAAGTTTCGTCTGAAACAAAAATGTTATGCCATTTGTTTGTTCACCTTCAGCATTCAACGCATCACTACAGTTGCATACAAGTATGTTGCAGAGTCAAAGGTTATTGCAGCACATAAAGCATTCCAAAGACTCCCCTCATATGTAAATAATGTCGAATGGTACGTGCTGACACAGGTTGTTATGCAATAGACACTAATTCTTGCGCTATGGTTATATATATTGCTGTGCGATTCATCACTGTATACACAACATACCTGATCTCTTATTCTGTGGTGTGACGAGGCTGTTCTCATCGCTCGGGTCCGTTTATCCTCCATCAACTGATCCTATATTTGCATCACTGTGCCTTAATTTCAGGCAACACGAGCATATACTTTTCGGAAAGATAATTAGCAGTTCATCCTCCGTCGAGCTCATAAACTTGTTAAAATGAATAACAGACTTTTTTTTTGCAGAAGCACAATGAAACATCCCATGGACAGGTGAGCAAGAAAATATTATCGAAGATGTATGATGGAAATTTCAAGTCCATTAGATGTTTCCTGCATACAATTGTATTTCGGATGGCCAGCAGGTGTACTTCTAACACACTTTCATTTTGATGCGAGAAAATTAATTATTATATTATTGAATAAAAAGAATTAGGAAATACTTTGTTTTTATCCCCAGCTAAGTGAATGACATAGTTTTCGTTTTTAATCGTTTGCTTCCAATTTTCCAACTCTTTCAACAAAAGGAAAATTATACATAACTACTACCTAAGCTTTATCGTCACGTCTTATGTGATTGTTTAATACCTTAAGAGAATTTATTAAAAACAAAATAAATTTCAGTGCAAGCATAAGCCTTGTAATTATGTAAAACACCTTCAAATTTCATTTTGTATTATGTAAAACAGCTTTAAATTCCATCTTGAATTTTCCGTTCTCTGCTCTCCTCCTAGTTAGAAATATTTTCTGCCAAAGCCATGAATCAGAATTACCTATCTGTTATTAAATCATCACCTTAAGATAGTTAAACATCAGTTTTACATTACAGACGAGAGCCAAGCATACAGTTAAATCAACTTTATTTAGGTATGAAATTATATTTAACAAGAATATGTATAATATATAAAAAAACAACAAAAATTTTAAAAGCTAACCTTTAAAACAAAGGAAAGTTAAATAATGCACTAATTTCTACATTCAAATTAAAAAAGAAATAAAAATGCCCAAAGCAAGGCATTTTTTCTTTTTTGCATATATCTTTGAAATGACAGTAAAAACTTTAAAAAAAACTTTTCTCTTGTAAAAAATGAAATACCTTTCATCCTGGAACATTGGAAAAAATATTTACTTCTAAATAAAATATAACCAACTCACAGAAATTTAGTTTTATTAATATGCAGAAAATGAGTACAAATAACACAGAAAATAAATTCGGACACTTCTCAGTTTCGAAGGTCTCAGGTGAATAAAAAATGAAGTACTCAGTTTTTACATGCACAAATATTGCTGATGAATCATCAAAAGAAAATTCATTTGATATGTAACAGATATTTAGTATAAATAAAGGACAGTTTAATTTTCAGCTGATCACAGCTCCAAATTCAGAAGATAAATAAAATATACTGCTAATCTGAATATCAGAAACTACAGCACGAAATTATCCATTTCGATAAGAGCGAAATTTCACATGCATAACAAACATTTATAAAATTACTACACGTACATCAGGCGCTGCCTATAAAGACAATAAATAAGTGAAAAAAAATTCACTTAATATGTTAAACATGCAATTTTTTCAAATTCATTTAACCTTAATCATAGTCTCATTGAGACTTTCTATACCATGCTCTTTAACTAAAATTAAATGATGCATGGCGAAAACAGTCATTCCAAGTAACAAATACTGTTTTAACATTTTCTGCAAGACAATGTCAAATAACTGTCTCATCGAGACAACAATATAAAACTGAAATTTCTTTGGGAAACGTTTTTGTCAATGAGAAGAGGCTTCTCTACAGAACTCTAGGGTAAGTCATTCTACATAATAATTTCATTACACAGAAGCAATGTTTCTAGTCTCCTATTCAGTTTATAGATAATAACTGTTGTGCCTGAAAAGAAAAACTAGTATAAGTAAACATTATTTGTGTTCGAAAGTACAAGTAATATTTTTCAGATTGCATATCAAATATACTGAACATGCTCTTTCACGAAGCAAAACAATAAATATATAAGCAAATACACAAGCTGAAGCAAAGTTATAATTATAAAAGTGAAGACAAACTTGAAACATAATTTTACAGGAAATGGAATTGTTACGAATGGATACATATTTAGTAAGATTTTCAAAAGCAAACACCTCTTATGTTACATACATAAAAATGTTTAAGTATTCAAATTCGGCTAAATGTACTATTACATTATAATGGTGCTAAGTCGGCTGCTATACGCACCAGTTACAAATGATTTCACATAACTCTGCAGTCAGCTGTAGTTTCAAAAAATGAAACTTAACTGAAAGTTACTTCAGGCATATGATTCAGCTTTTTGAAACAATAATATTACAGACAGATCCTGTCCATCTGAATCCATTTCTATTGCATATAAAATAATTTTAGTGCATATGAGTAGACTACACAAATAGAGACAGCATATCTATGATGTGATAATAGTACATATAACAAAATAGTAATCAGTCCTTGCAAGATTGCCATAAAGATCAATTTTGCTATATATTATTTCAAAACTAAAATCTTAGAAATCAAAAATATTTTACTCCGTGACACACATTATTATATTAATGCATTTAAACACACATTATTATATTAATGCATTTAAACACACATTATTATATTAATGCATTTAAACACACATTATTATATTAATGCATGGAAGTATACTTCTCCTAATGTTTACATATTTTTCGAACGATTTCGATAAAGAATTAAAAAGTCCGATGTGGATACTACATGACTTCCTTGTACGGCCTATTAAATTATACACATTTTTGTTGCATTTCATTTAAACTTATTTCCTCGAATTTAATTGGAAATATATTTCTCATTCAATTAATCTGAATTTATTTTTCGAACGATTTCGATAAAGAATTAAAAAGTCCGATGTGGATACTACATGACTTCCTTGTACGGCCTATTAAATTATACACATTTTTGTTGCATTTCATTTAAACTTATTTCCTCAAATTTAATTGGAAATATATTTCTCATTCAATTAATCCAGTTCTCACTTCGTGGCAAGGCAAAAATATATAAAATACCTTCATTAAAAATCGAAAAATATGGAAAAACATTAAACACCACATGCAGTTAAAACAATCAAAAAATTTTTTACAATTAAAATTAGAAAAGCAATTCGGCCAGCGGACTAGAAGGCAGATTTTTCAGTGCACAAAAACTGAAAGCTTACTTTTGGTCCCACTCGACAAAAACACACCGAAAGTGCAGAAACTGACTTGATTCACTATTCTGCTAAGTTTCAAATGCAAACAAATATGGCTATTCCATTAAGCTTAGCCGCACTTAAACCACTTTTAAATTGTTTACAATTTTTTAACTACTGCATGTATATTAACTAACGGCATAAAACCTTTAACCAGAATATAAGAAAAACATTATTCAATAATTTTTAAAGCAAAAAATGCACAATTTACCAACATATAGAATACAAAAACTGAGTTCACCAAGCCGAGTAACAGGACAGATATATACGTATAGCACCAAAAGTGTATATATATACATACATATATACAGGATGATTCGCTACCAGATCGACAAACTTGCAGGGTTAGGGGGTACAGAGACGACTCGGAATCACATAGGAATGCAGAATCGCAAATGCCGTAGTTGCGAGCTGTGGTGCAAAGCAGAGAAAAAAAACAGAAACAGCAACACATTAACGGGACAGAAAACATTTTATTGAAAGGTTGTAGTACAAGAGGTATTTGAAATTACGACCAGAAGTCGTTTGGCAGGCCTGAAAGCGGCGCTGCATGGAATTCCTTACGTTCTGGAAGATTCCTGACATCTAGAGATATTCGAGCGACGAGGTCTTCAACTTTTTTTTTTTTTTTTTCTTTTCTTTTTTTTTTACACTGCTAAGGAGGACAACTGACCGGGAACAAGCCCTTGCAGTATGATGTCCGCCCTGCAGACATTTATTAAGTCTAAATTAAAAAAAAAAAAAAAAACTTAGAAGTACAAGCTGCATTGATACAAAACTGGTAAAGGTAAAACAAAAACAGTAAAATTTAAGACTAACATTGGAATTTCAAGCCTGCAGTTATACATCACACTGACTTACTATAATTCCGCACATTACAACATATTATGCAATATATTACTATAAGACTGAAAAACACACTAACATAGTAAAACTGATACTACAAATAAAACACACTATATACACTGTTCGTATCAGAAAAGTACACACTGACATAGTAAAGCTGATATTACAAATAAAACACAACATATACACTGCTCGTATCAGAAAAGTAGACAATTCTGTACATGATGCTGTACTGTAACGCTAAAACTAAAGAACACTAGACAATAACCTTTGGAAACAGTCACAGTGAAATTAGGAATATAATATATTCTAGCAGAGTTAGAATACGAGTCATTTCAAAACATTAAATCCAGCAAAATATTTCAATACATATTTACAAAGTTCTACAACCAAGAAAGTCTGATTCAATACTACTATTATACATCACACTTACTTATCATTATACGACCCTAAACTATTATACTCCACTTAATAGAAAAAATTATTCAAGATACTTAATGGAATACTGTACATACATTGAAATAAAATGGCGAATACTACAAAATAACAATCAATATACAATGTGCTTATCAGAAAGTTGGTTCTGCGGCCACGAATATTTGTTATAAACTGTTGCATTTTGCACAGTACTAGAAACTGTTACAAAATATTTGCACACAATATTTCATGGTACTAGCCGAGAGCTCTATATATGTATTTACTATTATACCGCAGACTTAATTGAAAACATAACACAACGCACTTACTACTTAACAGGTCAATACACTAAGACAATATGTAAATAGAAATACACAGAATACAATACAAAAATTAAGTAAACACAATAAAATTTAAAGTCAACTGAAGAAACAGGCATCTCGTGCACCAAACTCTTCATATGATCCCAGAAGATGTCTATGCATGATAGGTCCGGTGATCTGGCAGGCCAGTACAACCTCTCAATAAAATGTTTTCTGTCCCATTAATGTATTGCTGTTTCTGTTCTTTTTCTGTGTTTCTTTGCACCATAGCTCTCAATTACCGCATTTACGACGCTGCATTCCTATGTGTTTCTGAGTCGTCTTTGTACCCCCTACACACCCTGCAAGTTTGTCGGTCTGGTAATCACCATGTGTGTATATATATATATATATTTGGTACGGCCGATTATAACCAAAAAGGGAGGGGCGCAACTACATATTATAGCAGTCCTATATAAAAAATTTCACCGTTCTAAGGCTAATCGTTTTTGAGTTATGCGAGATATGTACCTACGTACAAACGACATGAAAAATTATCTTCTGAATCCATTTTACATTTCGTTTTGGGAAAAAGAGTTCTTTATTCTGTCCTTAAGTACAGATGTCATTCAAAAACATCCTTCAATGGCATTCGATAGCGGTCAAAATGGAAATTTTCGTTGAAATATGATGCCCGAAATTTTTCCCGATTACAACACTTCCTTCACTTCGTACAAGGAAGTAAAAATCAAATGTTTCGGAATAAAAATTTCCGGCAGCAGCTTATTATTTGAAATGAGGAATACTGTCTGTTACTTTTAAATTTATCTTCTTTCAAAATGTAGCACGCAAAGAAGATATGGATTGAAGGATATGTTTTTCCGAAGAGAAATATCCCTACTCCGAATTTTAAGAACTTGGTGAAATATTAAAATTATTATATTAAAATATTAAAATTTCTAAGGTCAAAATTATTAATCGGAAAAGGAAGCACCGTTAATCATTGCTTCTATACGGAAAGAAGACTCGAAATGAATACTTGAAAAAAGGTACGTACTGTTTCTAGTGCTGCTAAAGTTAAATCTTTGGTAACAAGAGAAAATTCGCCGACGCAGAAATTAATTGCAAAGCTTTTAAACACAACTGTAGCAAAAAAATAAATAAAATAAGATTTATAACTTAAAAAAGATAAAAAGCAGAATGCTCAACAGCTTTACCTTCTGCTCAACGCAGAACCAATTTGTAGAACCCTGTATGAAAACTAGCAGGGGATAAATGGATATACATAGTGACCCTTAATGGAGCATGCCTTACCTAAACGAGTTCAATAATAACAGCAAAAAATGTCCATTTATTATCAAAAACGAAGGGAAAAAAAAAGGGCAAACCTGGTTCCGTCAATGCAAAGAAAGTTTCAGTAAAGGGCTAATGATTGTCGCAGGATTTTCTTACAATGGAAAACTAAAAACAAGAAGAGTGAAAAACTAAAAAGTGTTAAAATCAACTCGATGTACTATGAAGAAAAATTTTTACGTCCGATATTTACAGAAGAAATTCCATTTCTTTACCCCAATGACTTTCAAAGAGTGAAACTTCATCAAGACAATGCAACAAGTCATACTTCGAAAGGTAGCACTGTGTTCCTTGAAAAAATGAAGACTGATACAGGAATTACATATATAACTTTTCAATGTATGTCTCCAGACGTTTCAACTATGGACTATTGTGCCTTTGATCTCTTGACAAGAGCTCTTTGAAGCGCAAACCCAAAACGATTGGATGCACTCTAGAAAGTAGTAGAAGAGTAATGAAAATCAATACCCCTGGAAATTTTATGAAAAACCATTTTATCATGGACATCACGGTGCAGACTTATAGCCCAGAAAAAAGGCTATCAAATCGAATATCTAAAAAAGTACTCTTTTTACTTTAAACATTAATTAAATGGACCTGAAATCCATCTAAAATGTGTAAATACCGTTTCTAAATATCTTTGGCGGTGATACCTATTTGTGTGAACGTGACACTTATTTATTTATTTTTACTAGAGTTCGATAATGGTGATGTCTTGAAATACAGCCACATTG